TTTTTTTTTTTTTTTGGGGGGGGGGGGGGGAAGGGGGTTGTGGCTTTCATCCTTGTAGAAATTCCTTGATGTTGATGTCTTTGTATTTGGGAAAAATCGTCCCATCCCTATAAATAGCAGATGTGTTGAGGGAAAAGAGTGAAAAATCTCTGGTGGCCAGATAAATTGAGAGAAAAGAATGAGAAATCTTGGTAGGAGAGTTGCTATATTTGCTATCTTTGTAGCCTATCTAACATTGTCCATAAACTCTTGGTGTCTGTTTACAGAAGCAATAGTACCATGCTTCTCTGCCATCCAAGGTACACTTCTCTTTCAACTTATAAGCTAATTGCATATCTTCCCTACTTCAAATTCATGATTTCTTGCAAGCGTAATTTTACTTGAACCAAACTTATTGACCAAGTTGGTTGAGGAAACAACCAACCATAGCAGGGATGGCCGTACTGGTAGGGCGATGGAATAGAAAGCAGGACCCTTGTGTGAAAGCCCAAACCACTGTTGTCATTGAAACTTTAATCTCTCTATAAAGGCAGACATTGCTTTGACTAGTGGATGAAAAACACCTTCAACATACATGTTTTAGTTGGTCGATTAAGACTTGAGTAGGAAAATGATTGTGCATTTGATGTACCAATTAGGCTTGATTAGATTTGGATTGAATTTTGACCGATTTTGGATTTTAGATTTTAGATTTGATTATCTTCGTCATCAAATTTGATGTAATTTTGATTGATCAAATCAGAATACGATTTAAAAAATTTGATTAAAATCAAAATTCATTAAAAATCCAAAATTCGATTTTAATAAATTACATCTAAAAATGAATTATCAAATAACCACTTAATTTCTTCAATATGTATGTGGAAAATATTTTTTTGAATCATAATCGAATCAAATTAAATCATATTCATGAATTCGGATTTGGATTATTGTAGAACATATCAATTCATGTTCGACCAATTAGATTCAGATTTTGATTAGGTCAAAATCGGGTAAATTGACAGACCTATGTGCCATGTTATAAATATGATACTTTTTTTTTCTCTTGTCTCAAATATTATAACTCTAGAATCGGCTTCATAAACTGCCAATAGTTTATAAATCCTTACATAATTCCCTCCCTTTTTGTTTTCTTCTTTTGGTTTTGAATAGCAGAAACTCTAATCCACCGCCGGAGCGGCAGGGAAGTTCCTAAAGGCAGCAGTCCTACTCCTCCGGTAGCAAATGAAGGCGATCACAATTTTCGCTGATGAAGACAGTGGCATGGACGACGAGATCGATCAAATTAATTATAAAAAATAATACGTATTTCTTTGATTTTAAACTCAAATATGAATAACCTGTCTCTCTTTGAAAGAAGGGACACTTTCGATTTTGTCGGTACTTGAAATAATTTGTCTTTTCCATATTATTATATAAGGAATCCCTTTTCATATTTCCAGTTCTCCAACATATATGTAGTGTTTTGATTTAAATTCAATGAAATGTTTATCAAATGCTGCAAGTCACAACACCCCCACCCCTCTTTTTTTTTTTTTTTGGTTCAACGGTCAGAGGTGTTCGCACCCAACTTACATGTACGTCAATAATTTCACTCTCTGATCCGGTTAAAGGTAGGTCATCCACATCAACNTTTGATTTAAATTCAATGAAATGTTTATCAAATGCTGCAAGTCACAACACCCCCACCCCTCTTTTTTTTTTTTTTTTGGTTCAACGGTCGGAGGTGTTAGCACCCAACTTACATGTACGTCAATAATTTCACTCTCTGATCCGGTTAAAGATAGGTCATCCACATCAAAATTAGAATATTGNTTTTTTTTTTTTTTGGTTCAACGGTCAGAGGTGTTCGCACCCAACTTACATGTACGTCAATAATTTCACTCTCTGATCCGGTTAAAGGTAGGTCATCCACATCAACATTAGAATATTGATGAAGAATTAATTCCTTATGGTTTGACCCCAAAGGGTAATCAAAATTCTAACTCATAATGCCTGAATTTACAATTCGTCTCTGTTACCATTTGAACTATCCCTGCGACTCCCTTTCATCTTTCNGAGGTGTTCGCACCCAACTTACATGTACGTCAATAATTTCACTCTCTGATCCGGTTAAAGGTAGGTCATCCACATCAACATTAGAATATTGATGAAGAATTAATTCCTTATGGTTTGACCCCAAAGGGTAATCAAAATTCTAACTCATAATGCCTGAATTTACAATTCGTCTCTGTTACCATTTGAACTATCCCTTGCGACTCCCTTTCAACTTTTNGAAGAATTAATTCCTTATGGTTTGACCCCAAAGGGTAATCAAAATTCTAACTCATAATGCCTGAATTTACAATTCGTCTCTGTTACCATTTGAACTATCCCTGCGACTCCCTTTCATCTTTTCCTTCCAAAGAATAAAAATGCCTAGAGAAGACCTGCTTATCCGTTCGAATTATGTTAAGTATGTCAAACAAGGGTCCAACTACGGTATTGAAAAATTATTTTCAGGTCTCATGTCTTGTATAGTGATAATTTTTGGGTGTCATGCCCAACAACTGGCCCAATCACAATTTCATCTATATTGAATTTCTTAATATTAGAATAACTTATATAGTCATGATTCAATTCAGATCCATTGACTTTTGATTGATTTCTCATTATTTTTAAACAAAAAAAAAAAAAACCACAGACACAGACACACTTACACACACACACACACACACACACACACACACAAAGAAAGATGCAACGGCAACAAGTGTACCAAATATTTGCAGCATTATATGGCATATGGGTACAAAATCTAGCAAAACATACACAGGCGCAAGGAAGCACACAATTTACAGCCTAAATGAGCAGCTAAAGCCATTATTAAGACTCAAGACTAATTTTGTTGAATAAGATTTAATTGGCTCGTTTATTAAACAAGATTTAAAATTGAGTTTAACTCGATTCATTTCATAGATGAATNACACAAAGAAAGATGCAACGGCAACAAGTGTACCAAATATTTGCAGCATTATATGGCATATGGGTACAAAATCTAGCAAAACATACACAGGCGCAAGGAATCACACAATTTACAGCCTAAATGAGCAGATAAAGCCATTATTAAGACTCAAGCCTAATTTTGTTGAATAAGATTTATTTGGCTCGTTTATTAAACAAGATTTAAAATTGAGTTTAACTCGATTCATTTCATAGATGAACGAACTTGGCCATGTTTTTAATCCGAACAAAACCCAAGTATGCTGACCAGCTGAGTTCATTTGCTGGTTGCAGCCCACCTTTTTTATGGACCAAATGGAAAGACGAGGGTTTCTCAACTCCCCTCTGATCAAACCTCCAACAACTGAAAATCATATATGTTTGTTGGCTAGAAGTGCAATACAAGAACAAAGGCTGATTTATAAAATTGAACTATTATTTGATCCGTTGATCCGCCAACGTACCTTTACAACATAACAAGTCTGCTCTTCCACTACCAGATACATTATGTTACTACGCGATAACCATACTATATGATACAAAAAAGATGAGAGTTCGTATGATTACGTTACCTGTAACATGGCACGCACGGGAATGAGCAAGTAACATCCCTAGATGACAGTCCCACTGGGAATCAAGGCATCCTTGATTACAGTCACAATCCCGCTCTTAATGAAGTATCCATCTGTTTCTCTCGCTGCTTCTTGAACATTGTCGCTGTTAATGATCTGCGATGACAAAATTCCCGCATTAAATAAAACCTTTCAACAGGAGCATGTTTATGAGGTTTAGTTATCAAGGCAAATCAAATGAAGGTGATATGGAAAAAATAGGATTTTTCACAGCGTTTTCGATGATTTCTTGGTACTCTAAAGCATGCTGCAATGCGTCTGTCTATTAGTAATTTTGAGAAAAAAAAATATTTCCAATTTCTTTATTACATTCTTTTATTATGATATTTCCTATTGCTTTTATTATTCTTTTGCTTTTTTCCTTTGGCACGTGGAGTGTAAATAAACAAAGTAGATGTATATGTATGCTATACTATTCTAACGAACACTTATTCGTGACAAGTTAGCTAAGTTGAGATGAAACCTTCACATTCTCCCCTATGCGAGCATTCTTGTCAATAATTGCTCTCTTGATGTGAGAGTTCTTGCCGATACCAACTGGAACGCTACCCTTTGCCGCCAGAAACCTTCGATCAGCATCGGTCTGCAGCAAGAACATGAAACTAACATAATTAGCATTAATTGCAATTTGAACGAAGTAAAATGATAGTTGACCAATTAACTTTGTAATAGATAATAATTTATAATTCATTTCAACTGTAAATGGAGAAAAAAAAAATTATTGGATCTCTCTGGGGTTACCTCGTAATAATCTGCTCCCATTAACAACGTATCTTCTATTATTGCACCCTCTGATATGCAAGATCGAAGACCAACCACAGAATGATGAATTTTACAGCTCTGTGTAGGGAGAAAAGTGTAAAAGTTCATAAGAGGCTATATTTAGTTCCTTCTCTTTTCAATGCTGTATGAAATGATTTATCCAGTGACCTGGTCCACATCCACAATTACCCACCTTAATCACACAACCCTCGCCAATAACACTATCTGTGACATCAGCATTGAGCATCTTGGACGGAGGCAAATATCTAGGTTGAGTGTATATGGGGGATGAACGATCATAGAAGCTGCGTAAAAATATCAAGATTATATTAGCATTCGCATACCTAGACCTGGCTTGTGTAACAGCTCTCTACAGAGTGAAGAAGAATTATGTTTGATGAACAAGAAAGCTACCTGAAATCTGGCACTGGCTTTTTTGTGATCCCCAAATTCGCATTATAAAAAGCCTCAATTGTACCAATGTCTTCCCAGTAGCCATCATACAAGTAAGCTTGCACCTATGCAGATGAAGTAGCAATTAAACTTATTCAACCACACACATTATCCTCTGCAACTATTGGGACAAAAAATAGAGAAACAAATTGGAAATGTACATNATTTTATTAGACATTCAAATGGTAAACTAGATTTTGAACTTTATAGTATATTGAACCTATAAAATAAAGGGTAATATGAAATTATAATTTTTTATTAGGATAAAATTATATTTTTTAACGGTTATATTAATAGATATCAATGAAAATGAGTTACGTGTTATACGTGCACAAATGTCATAAAATATAGGAGTAATATTCTAAATGTGAAGAGATCTAAATGATTAACTGACAAATATGAGGGGATTTAGGTATAATTTATCAATTTAATTTTAGGTGCACATTGATACAAATTTCTATCTTTGAGGGTGCAAATTGAGATTTTTTATCTTTGGGGTACACATTGATATAAATTTCTATCTTTGAGGGTGCAAATTGAGATTTTTGATCTTTGGGGGTGCACATTGATACAAATTTCTATATTTGAGGGTGTAAATTGAGATTTTTGATCTTTGAGGGTGTAAATTGAGATTCGAACAATCTTTCGGGGTGCAAAATGAGATTAACCAAAATTTAAACTGGAGAAGTTGTAGCTTAACTATTTATACTTCAACATGCTTAATTAAAATAACTTGACCGAGGTACTGGAGTAGTCTCTAGTGTAAGCCACTTATCATCCAAATGACAATCAAACAATCCAATAACACTTTTCTAATTTTTTTTTGATAGGAAACAAATAATTTTATTAATTAAGAAAAGGTACATAAAGCAATACAGGAAACAAAGAGGGTGGACAAGAAATCCATCCTCTGTGAAACGAGATGTAGTAAGGCTTCCAACTTATTAAATGAAAAAATAGCATCAATTAGCATCCATAAGCATAATTATATGATAACTACATGAGAAAAGTGGGAAATGTGAAGTTCTCTTTAGTGATTTATTCTCAAACAAAAAAGTGAGGGAACCCACAATATACAACAGGGATAAGAAAAAAAAGAAACACTTAGTATTTTAGTGAGTCATATCATAAGATAAGTGGTGTTATCAAAAATTGAAAAAATTGGTGCCCAACCAGTCACACTCTTAGGGGACTTGTGGTATTACAGGAAGCTGACAATGAACAACCAAGATGACATGATCTTGGTCCCTTTGGTGGCTATATCTAAGTAACCTCTTTGTTTTGACTGATCAATAGGAAATTGGTGGCTCCAAGTCTCATATTGATGCAGGAAGATGTGGGATGGTCAGTGCCACCAGGATTTTGGTTGATTCTAATACTCTTACCCTCCCTTGAGTGTGTGAGAGTTATACAAGTACATAACTTATTTCTACAAGGAAAAAAAAAAACAGAAATGACTGTCCACATTAAATAGGGTGAGAGAATCATGAAAGAAAATCATGTCTACAAAGGAAAAATAAAGAAATAGGGATCAAAATAAAGAAATGACTGTCCACAATAAAAGCACATAACTTATTTCACAATTTTAAATGGGGCATCAGAAATTAGAGAAGAACTAATGCACAACATAAAAGTGCTCGATTTTGATTATATAATTACCTGGAACCAATTGGGGTTTTCTGGACTCTGTTGAGCAGCAAGAACTTCAACAAAACCTTCATTCTTATATCCACCCATGTTACTTGCATATGCCCGTGAAAGGTGGCGATTGAGAGATGCAGAATTGAATTGCGTAAGAACGTAGATCTTGGATATGTTACTGTTCAAGCAATTGCTGACAGGAATATCTATCAGCCGGTAGTTAGCTCCTAAAGGAACAGCTGGTTTTGCCCTCTTCTTTGTGAGCGGGTACAAGCGGGTCCCAGCTCCACCTCCAAGAATAATCCCCAAGACACTCTGCAAAGGATCGCATAGACGACATAACATTTCTTCAGACTTAAACAATGCAATAATGAAAATCATGGACACGCAGTATGATAAACTGATCGCATATTAGACTTATTAAGTGGAACAAACCCATACTTCATGAAGTTGTCTAGTATTTAAGGAAACCCAACGCTGTAGATCCTCAATTCGTATATTTGAGTTCATTTGAGGTAAATCATAATTCATTTGTCATTAACTCATAACTAATGCTTATTACACCTTACACCTAGAAATTGAAAAATAAAAAAATTAACCTTTTTCCCTTTCAATTCTACTCACGGAATTATGGCGAAAGTTGATCAAATTTAAACTCTATATGCCTCCAAAAACAAATAGAGTCTCAAGAAATATCTGATAATCCTTAAACATACCAACACCACATGAAAGAAAACAGGCAAGAATTTCAAAAGAGTGAAACAGATGACAATTTGTTCTATTATTTTTCTACAACCTCAAAGCAATCAAAATCAACGTGGGTCATCAAATTTAATGACCACAAACCTATAGTAAAAGATGGCAATTTTCAAATTTTCTCGGAAATCAACAGAGCATAAAACAAAGGAACCATGTCGGTCAAAAGATCACAATAATGCCGAATAACAGTTAAAAAGGGTGGCCTAGTGCACAAGGCTCCCTCCACTGAGGGCCTGGGCTTAGTAGATATTAAAAAAACATAACATTTTCAAACTCAAAATCAACACAGGAGACTGGCGATCACAGCCGCATGAATATAGTGTTCCATTACTATAGGTTATAAGCCGCTGTAATTCGCTTCCTATCACAGAGAGCTAGACAATGTAGGTCCTGGATCTGGAACCACACAGTCAAATTAATCCTATTCAATCCAAGAAACATTGTTTATCCTCTACTCCACTTAAAATTTTTCAATTTCAATTGCTCTATCCAATTTCAAATTATATAAGTAAACAAAGAACCTTCTCCGATATACACATTTTCATGCGAAATCGCATACATATTTTATACACACACAAAAGAAAAAAAACACAAACACACAGAAAAATATAATTAGAAGATTGTACTTTTTCCAGTGAGAACTAGAAGCTAGTATCGAAGGGGTGGGGAGAGAGAGAGAGTTTGCTTACTCGGCTAGCTTCGGGGTCAAGACATGTCTGCGAATTCCTGGAATCAGAAACAGCCTTGGGAGACACGATGAACGGAACTCTCCCATCGGAATGTGCTACAGAACAGCGTCGTTGAAAGAACACAGACGAGATCAGCTTGTCGCCAGAGAGATTGGAGGATGCGAACGATAAACTCCTAGACGGCGTCGCACGAAGTTCACTCCTCTCACTGATGAATCCCAGAGAGTTTCGAGAAGGAGCCTTCCACAGTCCAACTGTAGCCATTATTACCGTCTCTAGTGATTTGGAGAGAGAGCGAGAGAGAGAGTTTGGACTAAATAGTATGATGAACTGCTCCGGTGGTTTATGTGAAGAGATGTGTGATCATTTGCCACTGACTTTGAGGGAAATTACGGATTGGGGGTCCCATGTGATTGATTGACGACTTGACGTGTCAGGTGAGAAGGGTATTTTAGGGATATTTTGATATTTAGATTTTTTGTACATCTCGAAGGTTTTGTTGGTGGATCTCATTTCGGGATTGAAGATTGAAATGATACGGTCACGGGTGGGTCGTGAAATATTTTATGACGACCGGTTTGGGCCGTTACCATTTTCACGATGAAATTAGAAAATGTACAACTAATTTTAAAAAAATTAACAAATTTTAAATTTAAAATACTTGAATTTACGATACATTATTCTCTTTACCAAAAATTGAGAGTCACCACTGTTCGATGTAGCCCTGGGGGTGGGAAGGATCATAGATTCATTTGTAGGGAAATAATTGGGAACTGTCACGNTGAAATTAGAAAATGTACAACTAATTTTAAAAAAATTAACAAATTTTAAATTTAAAACACTTGAATTTACCATACATTATTCTCTTTACCAAAAATTGAGAGTCGCCACTGTTCGATGTAGCCCTGGCGGTGGGAAGGATCATAGATTCATTTGTAGGGAAATAATTGGGAACTGTCACGTGCATTCACTGTCAGGTAGTAAACCATTATTGACATATAAGTATAAGTTGAGTCTTCCATTTTATAAAAAAAAAATTTCACCATATATTGACAATAAGTTCTATTTTAAAAATACAGTTTCTTAATTTATCTATATACATTAAATCTAAGAAACTCTTCAAACAATTTGTTTTAATTTATTTATGCGTGTATATAGATTTATGCATTTCTAGCATTTATGCCAAAATTATGGCAATGGAAAATAGTGTATACATAAGTTATCTACGCGAGTGTATGTGTAGTTGATGAATCGATCAAAAGCTTACATTGAGTCATATAGGTTTATAGGAGGAAGAATCAAGATTGAAGACAGTCTATGAAATACGGATATTTCGTTGAGTTTGACGTATCCGTATCAAATACTGTATCAAATACGATACTCGTCGGATACTCGAAGATATGTATCGGATATACTTTCTACGTATCCGATAATAATTAAATATTAGAATATTTCATGGATACTTTTGTAGTCAATCAACATATATAATTTTTTAGTTGAATTTTTAACATCTNAATATTTCATGGATACTTTTGTAGTCAATCAACATATATAATTTTTTAGTTGAATTTTTAACATCTCTTTTTGAATTCACATACCATACAATACATTAACAAAAAATTGATATTACTTCAAAAGCACATGAATATTTTTTAAGTATTATCTATAATTACATGTCAAAAAAGTATAAAATAAAACTATTATATTATAATCTTAACAAAAATTACTTCTAAATACTAGATAGGTAAATATTAGTTTTGATTCCTGTAATTAGTCACTTTACTTTATGAATTTACCATAGCAACATAATATATATTTTATTGAAACTAAAAAAATTATTAATTTTCTTTATTATATGTTAAAAAACTACCAAAATATATAAGTATTAAGTTAGTTGAAAATAATAAAAATAATAAAAATATTTTATTATAGCCGTATATTGGTTATACCCGTATTTTATTTTTTTAGATTTTGTCGTATCGCTGTATCTGTATCGTATCGTACCTGTATTCTGTATTCGTATTCGTGTTTCATAGAAGACAGTTGTGCACCATCTAAAGGTTAATAATCGTTTTGGGTGGCACTACAATTGTGTTAAATGAACTTTCAAATGATAACATATTTTCATTGTGATAGATAGTTTTTAGTCATATTGTTTTGGATTACTACTGACAAAAGTAATGTCAAACATGTTTAAAACTAATGTCGAACATGCCAAACATGTTTAACTAATGTTAATCTCTCATTTTATTTTTTAGGAATCAATTATGTATAAACAAATAGATAGATTATGACGCTCTTCTTAATTGATACCTCTTCCCTTATATATGAGTTTAAGAATTGAAGAGCGAGATCCAATAACTGGTGTCGACTTCTAATTATATTCTTTTTTCAATTGCTTACTATTTTTTTCTCCCATATTCTTTCATCCTTCTTTTAGATTTTACTGGTTAAAGGATAACCCACCTATATGACAAAAATAAATATTACCAATAAAGTCACACCAACAACTCATTAGGAATGGAAAAAACACCAACTTCCAAAAACTAGGCCTTTTAGATCAATAATGTACCTTTTAATTGACTTTCTCACATTTTCCTTCATCCACTCAACAAACTCAAAGAAAGAATTAGTAACACGACAATCAAATTAGCAATAATTAGCAATTAGTGATGCTTTGTCATAATTTTATATTTTCAAAAGATCAGGAAGAATAATTAAACAATTATTTCCTGAAAAAGCATCGGTGGTTAAGGGTTCATGTTGTCTCGAGCAACCATGTACGATGAGTAAATATTGAGTGTAACAATGACATCATATCATTATTAATACGTCATATCACCATTCAATAATAAACCTACAAATGGACAAAATAAACTCCACTTGAAATGACATGGCAGAGTGATTACTTGAATATGTGAAATCCACATGCTTGATATCACCGTTACATCCAATATTTTTTCCTATAAGAGGTATTTTTTTGCCAACATAATTGTGAGTGTAGTTTACCCAAATTAAAAAGACATAGCTGCTGCTAAAGGGAGAAAAACGGAGGAAACAAATGGAGTTGCTAGGAAGGAAAATGCGGCAGGTGTTATCGAAACTATTGCTCCACTTCTATGCTTTAAGGGCTGTTTGTTTATGTGTTTATGCTGGAAATTTTATATAAGTCGCCTTTGTATTTGCTTAATGTTGTATTGAATTTTTTGATAAAATAAGCAGGTTTTTTCTATAGAATTTGTACAATACCTCAAGCAGTTTTTTTGGCTCATAATTTTCCTTTACTTTTATGATTTTCTTTTAGTTAGTTTTACTCTTGCAACTGGTATGAATTGGAATGAGAAGATTTAGTTTTAATGGTGAAAGCGTGTGCATGTAGGCAAGTTTTCTCTCTATACATTTGTTTATTATATAGTACCTTTAAGTACGGACAATTACTAATATATATATATATATATATATATATTAATTTATTGATGATTTGTATTCCCACATATTTGATTGGTTTTGACGGTCAAATCATGTGCTGATGTTTCAAAGCACAAAGGAATGTCAAACACCTATTGAAGCAACAAGTCAACCAACATACGGATGTCATATTTACTTGCTGAATCAAGTTCCTGTTTCAAGCGCAACAACCACCTCCTTGAGAAACAACACCATCTCTTCCTCCTGATGGCCCTGGAATGCCACCGTATCCGACTTTAATCCCATAAGACTGCACAAATAAAACCAAAAGAGCAGGATTATCAGCCATACATAGTATCTCTAAAAATCAAGGAACAATGCTCTTCAACTAGGTAACGGCTAACATTGTGATACTTTGCACTTTATGTTGTCGAATTTAGTTAATGTGTGAAGTGTCTACCACGTGATTAGCCCTTTGGCAACCAAATTGCTTGCCCCCTCCTGCCGCCACCAAAACCAGAGAAGCAGATCAGTTATCGATAGTTTCCTCTGCTATCCACGAATAAGTTGAGGGCATGTAAGTTCGCCCCATTATTCTTTGGATGCAGAAAACTAGTCTACAAGTGAACCTTATCCAATTTAACTTAAGGCCGTTTACATTTTCGCACACCCTCTTTTGACGGTAGGAGCAAGAAACCTACATGCCACTAGCCCCTTTGAAGTGGAACTGGCCTCAGCATGGAAATACGCCTGAGCACATGGTGGTGCCCCCCTTATTGGCTATTATGGAAATGTTACGAACTGGCCAGTGACATTGGTGCCCTCGCTAATAATGACAACACCTTTGGTGGGGGCCAAACCTAATGTCACTAGTCTGTTTTACGCCAAAAGGACAAGCCACATTCAAGTTTCTTGCTCCCGCTAATAAAATCCATCTCTTACTGGTACATGCCTATGCAGACCCAGGGACATATTGAAGACAAACTTGATTTTAAATTATCCCAAAATGCTTTGATCAAATAGACCTTGTTTCTCCAATTATTGAAGACAAACTTGATTTTAAATTATCCCAAAATGCTTTGATCCAATAGACCTTGTTTCTCCAATTATTGAAGACAAACTTGATTTTAAATTATCCCAAAATGCTTTGATCCAATAGACCTTGTTTCTCCCATTATGGAAGACAAACTTGATTTTAAATTATCCCAAAATGCTTTGATCCAATAGACCTTGTTTCTCCCATTACACAATGTCCTTCTTGTTTATTTTGCATCAAAAAGTAATCAACTGTTCTATAGCACCTCCACTGTCCAAATAAGTTATTGGCCATAACAAGAAATTAATGTCTATGTAGAGAACCTGAATTACCCAAGAGCAATGATATTGGGTCCTAATTTGCACTCCTAATTCACTATGACCTTTAGATTGACTGTGGACTCTATCAAACATTGGAACTTGGTGTTTATCCAATAGTTCTACTAAAGCTACATCATTAGGTCAACAAATTAAATCAGATTTTTAAGTCCAAATAGCATAACTCATTGCCCAAATACAAAGTAATCAAATGTTGGGCACATATCACACACAAAAATAGGTAGCACATACCTCATTTGATACATCAAAAACTCCGTCCTGAATCTTCTTATAGATTGTTGCAGCAGTGCTTATAAATGCCTGCAAAAGGACTTCTCTATCAGAATAAAAAAAAAAAAAAACTGTCATCCAAGCATCTATTTATAATTTGCTCAACTCTACATATACTTAGAAACTATGTCAGTAAACATTCTCCATTAGATGAGTAGCAAGTTTCATCACCTCCTCAACATTCTGAGCAGTTTTTGCAGAGGCTTCCATGAATATTAGGCCATGTTCCTGGGCAAACTGCTCACCTTCCTCTGTGCTTACAGCCCTTCTGTGACCAAGATCACTCTTGTTGCCTATGAGCATAATAGTCATGTTTGCATTTGCATGCTGTCTGACATCTTCTAACCAGCTAGCAAGGTGATTAAATGTCTCCCTCCTGAATAAAGAACAAAAAATCATCTTTTCACTGCAAGACCGAGTCCTAATCACATAAGGCTAGCAACACCAGCCAAATTCAGTTACCCCAAGCCATCATCAACATCTTCAGAACAAGTGTGTGTACATAAGTTTGTGTCATCTAATCACCACACCAAGCTTTAGAGAAAAAGAAGCGCACAACCAAAATAGGGTTTATAAGTCCAACGGCGAAATGCTTATTCCACTTTTATTTCATGGCTGGAAATTTCGTGCTATGACAGAAAGCATTACAACAAGTAATAGACATGTAAATATCTGTTGGTTGCTGTCTAACTTACATTGTCAATATCCTTTCTCTAAGAAAAATCATAATGGCTGAGTGCCTTTATGATACGAACTTGGCAGTTTTTGAATTGTTTTATCTTTCTTTCTTTTTTTTCCACCCACTCCCCTGCCCCTATCTCTCTAACTGTCCTCAGTATTAAGGGGGAGTACTATCAAATGGATCAACATGAATCCTAGTTGATACATTATTGTCAAAAAATTATCTAAACATGTAGCTCTCCTGTAAAACTAATTACCTGTCTTGTATAATGAAGACTTTTCACTTTTCACGGTATGAATGAACTTTTTTGGGGAAACTCAGGTGATGAATGTTGATGACACCTGCTTTCCAGATTCCGGCATAAAAAGTTGATAACACCATATACGTGTCATCAATAGTCTATTTCTTTTTCTTTAATAAAATGTGTCAAACTACTCGAAACAAATCTAGTCATTGGGTGAGTAAATTATGATTCATGGACATTTGAAAGTACTCTGTCTTAAGGCAGCTAAGGATAGAAAAACACTTCGAGGTCCCAAGTTTAATTCTTGCAGTAGAATACTGGTTCATCTGATGTACGAGGTTTGTTGGTGATTGAGTGCATTTGGGGTTTGCGTTGTAGCCACGAGTCCAAAGGGCACATTTTTGGGAGTCTGGGATAGTTCAACATTATTTAAAAAAAAGAAGGTACAAGGACACATAATTATCACACAGTAATGGATATTTCAAGACGAATTTCAAAAGACATGGATGCTAGATGATCTTTTTCTTTTTTCTCTGTGGTACCATGAAAAGTGAAGAACTAAAGATGCAAAACCGATACTACTACACCATACATTCATTTTTTGATTCCCTGTATGGTTTTCACTATACGAGAAAACTATATGAAAATTTGTGTTTTATAAAAAACCTTAATAGAACAATAACAGAGTCAATAGGAATAATACCTAGTGATATCATAAACCAGCAGTGCACCTGCAGCCCCTCTGTAGTATGACCTTGTGATAGACCTGAATGATTCTTGACCAGCCTGGCAAAGCAAGGAAAGATATTCGTCTAAATATAATCATTTGCTTTACAATACATCAAGAACTAACAACAGGATAGCTCTCTGGTGAGAATAATGAAACCCAAATCCTACACTACAAACTACAAGTCCTGGCAATGAGGGTTACAAAAGTATGAAGCAGACATCGAAGGATCAGGTAAATAGAAATTTCAGAACCTGAGGCAAAAATAAAAACAAAGTGATAGAAAAAGAACATGCAAGAACAAACCGTGTCCCAAATTTGAAGCTTTATAGGTTTGTTGTCGATGGTGACCATTCTGGCTCCAAATTCAACACCAATGGTCAAGTCATGCACCGGCTGAAACCTCTTGTCAGTGAATTGCAGAAGAAGACATGATTTTCCAACCCCTAGTCACCAAATATCAAACTCACTTTAGGAACATTGTTTTTCCACTGCCCTATGTTTCTTAGTCTTGTAAACGTAAACTATCACAAGTGAAGAAACTGATACTATAGTTTGTAATGCATAATTAAAATGTAATAGTGTCTGCTATACATCATCCAAGACAAGAAGGAAGATATTGTTTTGAAAAAACTAATATGCGGATTTACTTTGGACCATGACATAATCCATGACACTCAAGAAGAGACAAAAATTTTAAAGGGAGGACAAAAAATTGCCATTCAAAATTACCTTTATGACAATCAAATCCTTCACACACAGTTGTTCGGGAAATGCAAGAATGTNCAATCACATAAGGCTAGCAACACCAGCCAAATTCAGTTACCCCAAGCCATCATCAACATCTTCAGAACAAGTGTGTGTACATAAGTTTGTGTCATCTAATCACCACACCAAGCTTTAGAGAAAAAGAAGCGCACAACCAAAATAGGGTTTATAAGTCCAACGGCGAAATGCTTATTCCACTTTTATTTCATGGCTGGAAATTTCGTGCTATGACAGAAAGCATTACAACAAGTAATAGACATGTAAATATCTGTTGGTTGCTGTCTAACTTACATTGTCAATATCCTTTCTCTAAGAAAAATCATAATGGCTGAGTGCCTTTATGATATGAACTTGGCAGTTTTTGAATTGTTTTATCTTTCTTTCTTTTTTTTCCACCCACTCCCCTGCCCCTATCTCTCTAACTGTCCTCAGTATTAAGGGGGAGTACTATCAAATGGATCAACATGAATCCTAGTTGATACATTATTGTCAAAAAATTATCTAAACATGTAGCTCTCCTGTAAAACTAATTACCTGTCTTGTATAATGAAGACTTTTCACTTTTCACGGTATGAATGAACTTTTTTGGGGAAACTCAGGTGATGAATGTTGATGACACCTGCTTTCCAGATTCCGGCATAAAAAGTTGATAACACCATATACGTGTCATCAATAGTCCATTTCTTTTTCTTTAATAAAATGTGTCAAACTACTCGAAACAAATCTAGTCATTGGGTGAGTAAATTATGATTCATGGACATTTGAAAGTACTCTGTCTTAAGGCAGCTAAGGATAGAAAAACACTTCGAGGTCCCAAGTTTAATTCTTGCAGTAGAATACTGGTTCATCTGATGTACGAGGTTTGTTGGTGATTGAGTGCATTTTGGGTTTGCGTTGTAGCCACGAGTCCAAAGGGCACATTTTTGGGAGTCTGGGACAGTTCAACATTATTTAAAAAAAAGAAGGTACAAGGACACATAATTATCACACAGTAATGGATATTTCAAGACGAATTTCAAAAGACATGGATGCTAGATGATCTTTTTCTTTTTTCTCTGTGGTACCATGAAAAGTGAAGAACTAAAGATGCAAAACCGATACTACTACACCATACATTCATTTTTTGATTCCCTGTATGGTTTTCACTATACGAGAAAACTATATGAAAATTTGTGTTTTATAAAAAACCTTAATAGAACAATAACAGAGTCAATAGGAATAATACCTAGTGATATCATAAACCAGCAGTGCACCTGCAGCCCCTCTGTAGTATGACCTTGTGATAGACCTGAATGATTCTTGACCAGCCTGGCAAAGCAAGGAAAGATATTCGTCTAAATATAATCATTTGCTTTACAATACATCAAGAACTAACAACAGGATAGCTCTCTGGTGAGAATAATGAAACCCAAATCCTACACTACAAACTACAAGTCCTGGCAATGAGGGTTACAAAAGTATGAAGCAGACATCGAAGGATCAGGTAAATAGAAATTTCAGAACCTGAGGCAAAAATAAAAACAAAGTGATAGAAAAAGAACATGCAAGAACAAACCGTGTCCCAAATTTGAAGCTTTATAGGTTTGTTGTCGATGGTGACCATTCTGGCTCCAAATTCAACACCAATGGTCAAGTCATGCACCGACTGAAACCTCTTGTCAGTGAATTGCAGAAGAAGACATGATTTTCCAACCCCTAGTCACCAAATATCAAACTCACTTTAGGAACATTGTTTTTCCACTGCCCTATGTTTCTTAGTCTTGTAAATGTAAACTATCACAAGTGAAGAAACTGATACTATAGTTTGTAATGCATAATTAAAATGTAATAGTGTCTGCTATACACCATCCAAGACAAGAAGGAAGATATTGTTTTGAAAAAACTAATATGCGGATTTACTTTGGACCATGACATAATCCATGACACTCAAGAAGAGACAAAAAATTTAAAGGGAGGACAAAAAATTGCCATTCAAAATTACCTTTATGACAATCAAATCCTTCACACACAGTTGTTCGGGAAATGCAAGAATGTTTCAATCACAAAAGGATTGCTCATTGGAATCTAATGCAAAATTTATTCATACCCAGTTTTGTCCCTGTTAACCAACGGGTGTTAGGAGGGATGAACTAGATACAAACTATTATTGCAAAAACAAACCGTTATGAAGCTTAACGACCATTATGTAGCGGACCAAAAGAGGTTCCATCAATCATGTTATTGACCATTTTACTGGTCTTAAAATATTTGACAGTTGTAATGGCAGGTACAATGCAGTAATGACCACGAATTTTGCATTACAAAAGAGTCCTCTTTCCTTTATTTCCCCCTTTCACTTCGGCAGGACATTTACCCTGTAACGCAAAATGATGTCCCAATTGCAAATCTATTTGGCTTATTTTTTGATTCATAATAGAACCAAACTAGCTATGAAGACTTGAATGAGAATTGAGAATCCCGTACATCACCTTTTTGTGGTGCAAGTTAAAAGAAAGGGGGAGAATTGATGGTCATGTTCATCAATTCTCCCCCTTTCTTTTAACTTTCATGTGACATGTACTTATGAGCTATATCACTCAAATTAACAGTTAATTTTATATGATGTTGTGTGAACCTGCAGATATGAAGACACATACGACGTTACTTCAATATTATGCTTTGAAAGTAGTAAAAAATGATATATTAGTGTTATGTTTGCGATTGAACGAAATTCACTCTGAATCATTACAAGTCCTTAATTGTATGATTTTGGATTTAAAATGGTATATCAGTAAGTTTTGGATGGAATGCGACTTCAAAAAAAAAAAAAAGGGCGACTCCAGTTTTCAGTTTCAGCTATGTCCTATACCTGTTACACCGCCACCAATCGTTATTCCAAACCATGGTGCAAACCTAAACTATGTCCGTATAGTTACCCTTAACATATATTAAGAATATATCAAAATCAATAACAACAGTAGAAGAAAATACAACTAGGATAAAATAACACTATAACAAATCAATGTAAATAAAACACGTATATAAAATAGGAATAAATCATCACCACTGTTAGACAACATAAAAACCATATTGTTTAGTCTGACAAAACAATTGCACAACACACAAATTCATGCTAGCCACAATTACTCAAAATTACTTTTTATTCTTCGGAATTCAGGATCCAAAAAGCTACAAAACCAATTTTTTTGACAGATAAAATGGATACAAGCACGAATTTTGATATATAGAAGACCAATCGAATTATATTAAATAGTATAAAAAACAACAACATTAATACAACATAATCTATTAAAAAATTTAGGGAATTCTGAATTCGAAGAAAATTACTGGTATCTCCGATGATGATGTACTTGAAGAGGTAGGCATACGACATGGTTGTTCAGATCTTCGATTTCACTCCAAATTCGATGCCGAATCGTATATATAGGAGTGAATTTGCGTACAAATATGCGTATATAATTACTTCTCTTCTAAGGCAGAGAACGAGATCCAAAAAGACAACAACAATTGGAATTCAATGAAAGAAACAACTATATAACATAGATAGTTAGGGTTAAAATAATTGTACGTGAAAAATATTAATGAGAAAGTAGGTGTAGAGGTTTTACGAGAGCTTTGTAATTTTAAAGCCTGGTCATCTTCGAGAGAGAGAGAGAGAGAGAGAGAGAGAGAATATACAGAGCACTCTGCTTACTGCTGTCGTCGCAAAGAATTCTCCAAAAAGGTACAACGCGTCGAAATCTGAATTTTACAGGCCGTTAATGGGTCATGGATACGACCCGACCCAGGATCCAGACATCTTGAAACGACACCAAACCGCAGACCCCACTCTCCACTTGGGGTAGTGGTTAGCACTAGCTGATAATTGAATTGAGTTTTGACTTTTTTTTTAAGCTGGTTCCCGGTTGATTCATTTTCTAAGTTGAAATTGACAACTTTTTAGGTTAGTTTAAAGAAAACGAGGTCAACAGACTCAATTTAAACTCAAGAAATACGACTTATTTATGTGTAAATATTCAAACTTACCTCGTTCAAGTTGAACTCATTTTTTAAATGAGTTAAAGTTGAACAATTTTTAAATTCGTTCAAAAAAAGGAGAATGACAGGCCTAGTTCGAACTCATTCGATTATCAACCCTGGTTAGGCTTGTTAGTGGATCGGGGTTGGCTTGATTTGATTTTGAATCTGATTATAAAATTTTGATTTGAAATCGATTCAATAATCTGACGATTTTTATTTTTGTTGTCCATATTCAAATTCGTTAACATCCGAAATTCGATCAAAAAATCTGATCTAATCAAACTAACTTAATTAACTAAATTTTAACTAAATATTTTAAAATAATCACTTAATTTTTTTTAATATTTATATAGAAATATATAAATAATTTAGATTGAAAAAATATAAGTATATTCAAATCTAAATCTGAATATATGAAAATATAAAATATTGAATTTGAATTTGAGATCAAATCAATGATAAAAAAATTAATTCATATCCGGCTAATCGGATTCGGATTCATTGACAGGCTTAATAGCGATAGTGACGGTGAGTGGTGGTAGTTGGGAATAAAAAATATCACAAAATATTAAAAAATGATAAATCTCACACTAATGGGATTATTTATGGTAATGCGAATGAAATTTCATTACTACAAACCAAATATAGAAATAAATATTACTGAGTAATGATGATTTCATTCTCATGCTTCATTACTATCTACCAAACACAGCGTAAGAGATGCGTCCCTCCAAAATGTGCATCTGTATGGGTTGACAGACTCTTAATTATTTTTTCACTCAACAGCAAATCACTTTTATTAATGAAAGTGTCATCTACCTATTTATAAATTGGTCCCTCCTCTATATACGATAAGTGACTTAGAATAAATGCATACCTAAGAGAATTTAGATTTCATTTTCGTGGTATTCATTCATAGTGTAATAACATTATGTCACGAGCAAGAAAATACTATTTTAAAGTTATAAAAATACGTAGAATATCTTCTAAGATCTTGGAATCAAAATGAATAAGTAACAATTTTAGTCTTTTGCCTGTTCGAATTGCTTGAAATTGGGTTTGTATTATGTGAATTCCTAACAAAAAAAAATAATAATTACCAAAATTTTTGAACCTTGGCATGGTTTGAAATTCAAATTAATCAATTAAGACGGTCAATTTTGAGGATCTATTGATGTTCTTGGCAAATAAACTGAGGTAAGATCGTACACAAATGATAGTTTGCAATGATTGAGTAACTTTTCATCACTTTGATCAGATGTTATTTTTAATTGATTGATAACAATAAGATCTGAATCCTTGAACCATCCTGCTTAAGATGTCATGCCAACACTTAAAGCCAGCTGTTCTATAACGCCCTCGACTTCATTAGCTATAATTAAATGCATGATATGTTATAGAATATATATGTTAACAAAAATAATAAAAGAAAAGTATATTTGACAAGGTGTTGGTTTGGTCGGTCGATGTCGCTTTTCGCAAAAAAGAATTTATGGTACGGACATTTAGCGTAAATAAGGGGCGCGGCTATCGACAGTGAGGTGAGACGAACGACGAAGAGCTAGTGAGTGGGTAAGACAAGGTGTAGCATAGTCTAGTCATCACATCTGTTTAGGTTTGAATCCTTTCACCTTCATTTGACGAATTGTAAGAAAAATTTGGAGTAGTTTCTGATGGAAGAGTTATTAAAAGTTGTGGAACTTTTATTTAGGTAATTTCGGATTTAAATAGTTCTTATTCCGGATCCAAGATTCTTTCCACAACGGAAATAGTTCAAAAATATGAAATCGGACATTGTTCAGATGTCACATATATCAAAAAAGTCTAGGCAAGGGTATCGTGCTATCTTCTGACAGCACATTTCAGATCACAGGATACTAGCTGGCAGGTTTTTCTTTATTCTTTTCTCGTTCTTTTCTTCATGTAAGCTCAATGGATGGATTTCTTCCTTACGGGCGAAACCAAACCATATGACAAAAACCAGGCTGATGTGAAGAATTATTCAATGGACTAACAGAAATCAAAGTTAGATTTAGTAGGGGAAGTTATTCAATATGTTAGTCTCTAGACTGTCTTCACCACAATAGGACTCCTCACAAAGTGCTTGCCATCTGACCATATCAAGTGTCCAAATACATAGTCCATTGCTGCACTGGCTTTTGTAACATTTAGAGTTAGCTTGAAGGTCTTCTCTTCGCCGATCTTTCTGAACTTGAGGCTGTCTGGCTCGATTGCAACAGATATTGCTGTTGGTTTAATGATACGTGCTCTGTAAGTACCTGGAGAACCGACGTTCTTAACAGTTCGAATCACAGATATTGAACCATCAAGCTTGGGGACTGTAATTGAGGGATAGTTGAAGTCTGTTAGGATAATGTGCTTGGGGCATGTATAAGGACCCTCTGAAAACAGCGCGATTTTACTTTGGTTGTATCCAAGGGAACATAGGAAGTTTAGGTATTCGTTGATAGACAAATCGTAAACCAATCCAGGATCCATGGCACGGTTTGGTTGCACATGCCCTGCTCCATAACTAAATGGTGTTGCCTTGAAGTGTGATGCATTGGTCATTGGCTCTATTACATTGTCCCGTGTTCTTGCTGTGAAATAGAATGAAAGTAACAGATCAAAAGAAGAAATTTAATGCAGTCCTGTTACAACTATGCTACACTTAATGAATTTTTGTTCTATTTATGTGCAGGGAAGAGAGAGATTTAGAAGGTAGATTTGGAATTGTTCCAGTAATCTGCAATGTGTATTTTCTTCTCACCAGTGGTCATGATTGCTGATCTTATTGCTGCAGGACTCCAGGTAGGATGGAGGGTTTTCAGTAGGCCAACAACTCCGGAAACATGAGGGCACGACATTGAAGTGCCTGATATTGAATTAAATAGAACTCGGCGCTTGTCAAAATCTTCATTTGTTGGTCCCTGTGCTTCAGTGTAGGCAGCTATTACACTGACTCCTGGAGCTGTAATGTCAGGCTGACCAAAGAGTGACTATCAGTGATTAATTAACACAATAACATTTGGTAAATGAACTGGAAAAAGAACAAGTTGCTATGAAAACCTTAAGTATCTCTGGAGTAACTGTGTTGGGTCCCTTTGATGAAAAAGCCGCCATGAAAGGAGCTGGTTTTGCACCCAATTGTGTGGTTGGACTAGTAATATAAGCCATTGGAGACCTGTTAAACGTGCATAAATACTCAGATGTAAGAATTAGGTGATAGCCGGAACTTGAGCTGTATAGACTTGAAAGAAGTCCATTCTTTCTGATTATTAGACGTTAAATGATCTGGATTGAGCCATTATTGGAGTCCATGAAATTAATGGACAGTGGGCGTTCTAGAAGATGATATACCCCTGGCTTGGGTTAAAATGATATTAAGTATTGGCAAATCAACTTACCTTGCGGAACGTATGTAACTGAATGCAGCAACACCATCGGTGTAATTGATATGTGAAGCAGGGAGGACATGAGGATCAGCGAGAATTTCATTCCCAGAAATCTCGTTATTGGCAAGAACCATTCCCACAGCGCCAGCCAAAGCAGCTTGCCTGCCCTTGTCGACCCTTGCATTGTCCCCTCGAAGGCAGACCAAGATTTTGCCATTCACCTTTCTAGGATCCAATGTTCCAGCCTTACAAAGCTGGCTGTACGAATCAAACAAAAAAGCCTGTGGCATTGCTAAGTATGCTATGACCGATGAAAAAAAGCACACCATACGTTACTATGCACAGGAGCTTTTAAAAATGGGCTTATAGAATCAAAATAACAATAGCCTGAATGTTTTATCCTTACGCATCTCCCATTGATGAACCAGAAGCTTTGGCACGTGCAGCGCTGACAATTGGAAAGAACTTTCCATTTGGTAGTGCTTTAGGTGAAAGGCTTTCTCCCTGAAGAAAACGAGATATCTGTTGTGATTTCTATGCAAGTACAGTAGATGTTTATGAATGCTTAAATTTATGTTTCTTCCGTGATACTAATATAATTTTCTCTCACTCAGACTGGCTTCATAGAGACTACCCNTGAAAGGCTTTCTCCCTGAAGAAAACGAGATATCTGTTGTGATTTCTATGCAAGTACGGTAGATGTTTATGAATGCTAATATAATTTTCTCATTCACACTGGCTTCATAGAGACTACCTGTATCTAGACAAACAAAACACTATATTACAGATACTTAAAAAGTTTTGCCAGTGATTAGTGNACTGGCTTCATAGAGACTACCCGTATCTAGACAAACAAAACACTATATTACAGATACTTAAAAAGTTTTGCCAGTGATTAGTGACCAACAATAGAAGTAGGATGTGAAAACTGACCTTCAAGCGCATGTTGTTTCCAAGGATTACATAACTAGGAAACTGGCGATCCATGGTGCTGGCTCCAACTGTGATCTGCCATGGTGCTATGTTGGAAACAGTACCATTATCAGGTCCAGAATTTCCGGCTGAGCAAATCACAGCAATGCCATGCTTGACTGCATGAAAGGAGCCAATGGCAACACTGTCTTTGAAGAAGGGAATAGGGTCCCCTCCAAGTGACACAGACAGCACATCAACACTATCATGAATGGCCATGTCAAAGGCTGCCAATATGTCTGCATCAAAGCAATCATTGCCACCCACCGGGGGCCAACAAACCTTGTAAGCAGCCACTCGGGCTTTTGGAGATCCACCTTTCACTGTCCCATTGCCAAACCCAAATACACTTGCTCCAGCAACAAAATTACCACCGGCAGTTGATAATGTGTGTGACCCATGGCCTTCGTTGTCTCGTGGTGAGTTGAAGGAAGAATTTAGAGGTCCAACTACAGCAGCATATCCTTTGTTGAAATATCTTGCTCCTATCAGCTTTCTGTACAAAGAGCAAATAGTTAAAAAGGATTTAACAAGTAAGAAATCGATACAATATCAATGATTGGTAATTGGAAATGTGCTAAACCAGGGGAAATGGGTTCATTCATCTGAAATCCCACCCCTTTTTTCAGTTATTTTTCGACTATAAACAAGAAACTTGAAATGCCAGAGAGAGAAATATCTTCTATGAATGCAAACCAATCCACTTCTACAAGGTTTTCTAGCTTATGTGAGGTTTTAACCATTTGATCAAAAACTTTTTTGAGCGATGAACCAGNACAAGGTTTTCTAGCTTATGTGAGGTTTTAACCATTTGATCAAAAACTTTTTTGAGCGATGAACATTTAATATATTTCTGTCTTAAGTACTGGCAACCTGAACGTAAAATAGCGTGAGGCTTCACATGGATCTTGATATTTCATTGTTCAATATCAAACTAATCTCCTAGATCTTTATGCTATGAGGTAAGTCCTCATGCTTTCCTGCAATAGTACATGCTACATGCTCTTTAGGCATAGGGACACAGGCCCTAACACGTCTTCACTAGTATTAGCTAACAGCTTTGATGAAGAATAAGGGCCTTTATCACTTTGTTTACATCCTCTCTTCTCAGGAACATAGGTCAACGTGAAAAATATAGTACTAAGTACCACTTGGCACCATTTAAGGGGATGCATATTAAACTCCTAACAAACTTCATGGTGATGAAGATTCCATGAAAATGAAGATGCGTATAAATGCAACATATATGGAATTGGACTATGACAGACCACGCACAACATTGATGTTTCTCTGGCAATGATGCAACCTTTCTTGCAAATATAAAAGTCTATTCAGCCTATATGTGCACCCCAGTCTCATATTTTTTCACAATAAATCTCGAGATCACTGCTTAGAAGAACCGAAAAATGTTGTGGGAGCACTTAATTACCATATATAAGGTGATTGTTTACTGTAAATTATCAAGTTTTATTCACCAATTTTATTCTATAGTCATGTCGGTNATTGTTTACTGTAAATTATCAAGTTTTATTCACCAATTTTATTCTATAGTCATGTCGAACAATTTCTAACAACTATACCCTTGAACTGGCATGCTTGTGCTTGTGGTGGATAGAGGAATCTGACCTGTTGCAATGAAAGCCAGCATCTTTATCATTTTGACAGATTCCTTTCCACCTCAAAGGTATTGGTCCCATATCTCCATCGCTAAAACTCTTTGATTCAGGCCAGACACCTGGCTTGGTTCCATTAAACAAAATGTAAATGTGGAGAAAGTGAAACATGATTGTAAAAGAAACAAACAATATATCAATGCATATTGCTGTCATAANAGCATCTTTATCATTTTGACAGATTCCTTTCCACCTCAAAGGTATTGGTCCCATATCGCCATCGCTAAAACTTTTTGATTCAGGCCAGACACCTGGCTTGGTGCCATTAAACAAAATGTAAATGTGGAGAAAGTGAAACATGATTGTAAAAGAAAGAAACAATATATCAATGCATATTACTGTCATAGTCTGCTCAGATATATCTCATTGTCTAGGGCCGGCTTTGTGATTCTTGCTCTGTGGTGGCTTTAATTCCGTCACTTCATTTTTTTTTCCAACTTGAAAGGCATTGTACAACACCCTTGCGGTTCTTAGCCAGCATGCTACAAAGTGTCTTAACTTAATAATCAAATCACTATGGTTCATTATTATTGCAACGCTCTGATAACATTAATATACTATAGTTATGCTTATGGATTGTCACTCAGACCTATATATACCAAATGTTTTGATTCCAAAGTTACCTTCAGTTTATAACAGAAAACAGAAGCCACATCTGACCTCCCCAATGAATAAAAAAAAAAAGCAGCAGCAAAATACACCACATGAGAATCTCTGCAACCAAAAATTTGGAAGAAAAAATAGAAAAACTATATACATGGGATATTAGTTGAGCTAATTGGTCTATTTTTAAGGCAGTGATATAAATGCTCATACCGTAAGTTAAATGCCATGCTATTGTGACTTGAGAACTATTTCTCTTCTGTGGTTGTTCTGCATAACAGGATCCTAAATCATATACATCTTTCTGATAAATTCAAACATGGGAACTAAAAACGCCTTTAAATAGGCTTTCCTCTGCTGTGTAACCCCAGCCAGATCTGTCCACAAAAGCTGCATTGGGAAATCATTTCTCAACACATCCACAATCTACCATTATATGTTTGCTGCACCACTGTGTTAAGCAAAGTTTGCCTCCTAATTTGTTTAGTTACAGCACCCATTGAGTGCTTTTTGCTAAATGTGACGATAATGATTCCGCAATCCACACACTAGAGAGTAACTATACATGTTTGAGTAGCAGGGGATTCTAGTGCCACATTCCAAAAAGACCAACACTACTGCATCCATCAAGACATTTTTGAAGCAGGTGTGGAGTAAGATACAGTGATTTGTCAGATGTCCAAATCAATGAAGTACATAAATCCTTCTGGATAAAATAACTCACCCTTGTCAATGGTCCACTATGGTTTAATGATCAGGACCAGCTTAATGAATGAACTTTTATCACACATGAAAGTGGGATGGTCAAGCGAGTCATAGTGTTGACAGACTTATTGAAGAAAGACTAGAACCTTTTCTGGTCTCCTGATTGTCAAATGGCATTTGACAAGCTGNCCATAGCTTTGTAGCTTGATCACAAATATGATTCTGCTGCCAGTAAAACCCTCACATTGTTTATGGCTTTTCTCCGTGACGAGAAATCAGTTGGATTTGTGGAAACAAAAGATGAAATTGATGCATAGTATAGTCTATACAGATTTGATCCAATGAATTATTATTTAGAATCTGATGATGCACAAATCGGTATTGTGTAAAATCAACAGTTAAAAATATGTGACAATTAATGAGCAATTAACAAGTAATCAATGACAATCAAGAGCTAAGCGGTAAATAGGTAATCCACAGAAATAATTATAGTGGTTCGGTCCGAGTGACCTACTCCACTCTCGGAAACGGCTGCGGTGAACGTAGGTATTTTATTGATTAACCAAAGTTGCCAGGAGAGTATTCTCCAAGAGAGTTACAATGCTTTTGAGAAGAGACAGAAAGAGAGAGAGGTGTGTGTCAAGGAGATGTATTGAGGTTTCAAAAGCGTGTCCTGAATTTGAGCGGGCGTATATTATATAGTTAGGGTAAGGCAATGAGGCGGTGAAGTGAGTGACAGGTCTTGGTAAGTAAGCAACTATGGTAAGTTTAGATCTCTATCCTAACATTCTCTCCATCATGCTCCTATTCAATCGAAAGAAGACCCTGAGCTGGATTGGACTTGATCCTGAGTCTGGGCTGGCATTGGAGTGGGCTTGAAGTGGGTTTGAGTTGGAGTGGCTAGGAGAAGAGAACGACAGAAGAACCAGGAGGGCTAGCGCTGGGCGGCACCTAGACTTGGGCGGCGCCTGGCTGGGGGATGGTTTGGGCAACGCCCTCTAATGCCTTGGGTGGCGCTCTCTTGGGTGCTTCCTTTGGCTTGGACTCCATTTGATTCCTTCTTAATTTATGAGCAAGTCTAATTCCCTTTAGGCCTCAGTGATTAGGACTCCTCTTGATGGGTTGACCCAGCTCCAATTAGATTTTTCTTTGGGCTTTCTTGGTTTATTTAGATTAGGCTTGGCCCAGTAAAATTTGGGCTCATCATTTGTCCCGAGCGTCTGACTTTTTTCGAGAGGTAGGGATCGAGGGCATGTGTTTCGTTCCATCCGGGTGAGTTGGAATTTTTCTTACTTCGCACGATATTTTTCATCTTCAGGAACTTGCTGAACGCTTCGATATTGGTTTTTTTTTTTGTGTTGCATCCTCGTCTATAAATCAAGGTCACTGTTCTCATCTTCCTCATTCTTTTCTCACTTTTGGAGGCTTTTCTCAAATGGAGTCCTTCTATGCCTACTCCATTAAGCTTATCCAAGAAACTAACTCACTAAGCTTCCTTAAGAAGCTTTGCTAAGGCTTACTCAAGAAGCCACTCCTTCTCTATTTAAAGACTCCTCAAGGCTACTATTCACCTCATCTTCCTCCATTTCTCTCCTTTAATCTACTATTCAACACCTTAGTATTTTCCCTCTTTCAATACTCATGGAGACTAGGAGCTCAAAAACACGTGATGTGGAGCGAAGGAAAATTGGTGGCCTTGATCCCATAGGTGCCGCCCATGAGGAGAGAGGCACAGTGGGCGGCGCCCATGTCTAGGCGGGCAGCACCTATTCTATGGGTGAATTCCATCATGATGCAAGCAGTGGAGTGCTTGAGTAGTGAAGAGGGAGTGCAGGAGTCGCCATGGGCGGCACCAAGGGCCTGGGTGACCCTCTGTCGGGCTTCAGACACTCGGGTCTTTCTCCTCGTGGTGATTTTGGCATGGTCTCGGTAGTTGGTGAGAGATCGTTTGAGACCATTAGCGTGGGATTAGGTACAAGCATGAGGGCTTCAAAAAATCCTTTCAGCGTAGTGGGAGTGGCCCAAGATGTCAGACAGCAGCAAGGAGGATCCCTAAGAGAGACAGGTGGTGCCCGTCCTGAGCTAGGCGGCGCCCCGGGCATCCCAAGTGACGCCCATCATGCACTGAATGGTGCCCCAGGTGGCTCCTTAGGCATACCAGGTTGAGTTCAATCTTCCCCTCATGAGGCCAGGAAGTGGTTGATCAGTGACTTGGACAATACGAGCTTTCAAGGTATGTTTTCCAATATTCTTTTTACTCTTTTATCGACATAGTTACTTTCTTTTGCAATGGTATGAACTTGTTTCTTGCGGATATTCACTTAGGTGAGAGGGAGACTGTTGGGGACACTAATGGAGGTCTAGATGCCGGGGGAGGCGACGGTTCCAAGGTAGCTTCTATGCTTACTTTATTTGACCGAGAGGAAGATATTGCTGCCATAGTGTTTTCATACCGTTATCCACCTTGCGTGACTTGTCGTCGTGCTGAGGCTGACGAGCCTACATGTTATGACTCTTTGGACGAGCTTGTTGTTTATGAAGGCATGTTGGAGGCAGGTCTACGGTTCCCTATTCTCAGGTCTATATGTCGGGTTCTCGGACGCTTGTCATTGGTTCTAGGGAGACTGACTCCCAACGGTTGGAGAGTGATTTCTGTATTTTTTGTATTGTGGCTTTTGGTACATAGCGTTCACGTCAACCTCCATAAATGGAAGAGAAAGTTATTCTTTGTTAGAGGCGNTCATTAAAGAGCAGAAGGTAGTGGTCCAGACTCCAGAATTGAGCACCATATCACTTTTTTAAGAAGACAAAGGACCACAAATTACTACAACTTATTAAGGGTCATTTATAGTTAAAAGTTGACATCATAACTGTGAAATANTAAATCATATACATCTTTCTGATAAATTCAAACATGGGAACTAAAAACGCCTTTAAAATAGGCTTTCCTCTGCTGTGTAACCCCAGCCAGATCTGTCCACGAAAGCTGCATTGGGAAATCGTTTCTCAACACATCCACAATCTACCATTATATGTTTGCTGCACCACTGTGTTAAGCAAAGTTAGCCTCCTAATTTGTTTAGTTACAGCACCCATTGAGTGCTTTTTGCTAAATGTGATGATAATGATTCCGCAATCCACACACTAGAGAGTAACTATACATGTTTGAGTAGCAGGGGATTCTAGTGCCACATTCCAAAAAGACCAACACTACTGCATCCATCAAGACATTTTTGAAGCAGGTGTGGAGTAAGATACAGTGATTTGTCAGAAGTCCAAATCAATGAAGTACATAAATCCTTCTGGATAAAATAACTCACTCTTGTCAATGGTCCACTATGGTTTAATGATCAGAACCAGCTTAATGAATGAACTTTTATCACACATGAAAGTGGGATGGTCAAGCGAGTCATAGTGTTGACAGACTTATTGAAGAAAGACTAGAACCTTTTCTGGTCTCCTGATTGTCAAATGGCATTTGACAAGCTGAAGAGCAATAGTGAGTGAACCAGTGCTAAAATTGTCTGAATTTGATAAAGAAACGGATGCCTCCGACCCCAGTGAGATGCAGCAATATGAAAATGGGATATTACTGATTATTTTAGACAATATTTTTCACTATATCATTATTGTTCTTATGTTAAACATAAAACTATTTTATCTCTCATCTCTAGATTAATAATCCACATTACGAAAAGCACAGTTCTTTGTCATTAAAGAGCAGAAGGTAGTGGTCCAGACTCCAGAATTGAGCACCATATCACTTTTTTAAGAAGACAAAGGACCACAAATTACTACAACTTATTAAGGGTCATTTATAGTTAAAAGTTGACATCATAACTGTGAAATAATTGATGAAATTACTTATCTAATCAAGAGCAGAACAGAAAACTAACCAGTGTCAAGGTTGCCTATGATGGTGTCTTCACCAAATCTTGCCTTCTTCCAAATAGAGCTGGAATGAATTGCCCCATCATCTTCAAGCCCCAGGAAGTCCCATGACCTGGTTGTGTGCAATTGTTTTCCCTTGTTCAAGAACACTGAGACTACATCGGGATGCTCTACATTGTTTTTATGAACAAAGGCCACAAATAAATAAACGAAACTAAATAAAAAAATACAGAACACAAATTTACGTAGATCAGCTCGAAAGCCTACATCCATAGGCGCAGCGTAGTGGCAAAGTTTCACTATCAACAAAAGGAGATTAAATAAAATTTTTTAAACTAGAGAATACAACCAAACATAGATGCCCAAAACTANGCATCCATCAAGACATTTTTGAAGCAGGTGTGGAGTAAGATACAGTGATTTGTCAGAAGTCCAAATCAATGAAGTACATAAATCCTTCTGGATAAAATAACTCACTCTTGTCAATGGTCCACTATGGTTTAATGATCAGAACCAGCTTAATGAATGAACTTTTATCACACATGAAAGTGGGATGGTCAAGCGAGTCATAGTGTTGACAGACTTATTGAAGAAAGACTAGAACCTTTTCTGGTCTCCTGATTGTCAAATGGCATTTGACAAGCTGAAGAGCAATAGTGAGTGAACCAGTGCTAAAATTGTCTGAATTTGATAAAGAAACGGATGCCTCCGACCCCAGTGAGATGCAGCAATATGAAAATGGGATATTACTGATTATTTTAGACAATATTTTTCACTATATCATTATTGTTCTTATGTTAAACATAAAACTATTTTATCTCTCATCTCTAGATTAATAATCCACATTACGAAAAGCACAGTTCTTTGTCATTAAAGAGCAGAAGGTAGTGGTCCAGACTCCAGAATTGAGCACCATATCACTTTTTTAAGAAGACAAAGGACCACAAATTACTACAACTTATTAAGGGTCATTTATAGTTAAAAGTTGACATCATAACTGTGAAATAATTGATGAAATTACTTATCTAATCAAGAGCAGAACAGAAAACTAACCAGTGTCAAGGTTGCCTATGATGGTGTCTTCACCAAATCTTGCCTTCTTCCAAATAGAGCTGGAATGAATTGCCCCATCATCTTCAAGCCCCAGGAAGTCCCATGACCTGGTTGTGTGCAATTGTTTTCCCTTGTTCAAGAACACTGAGACTACATCGGGATGCTCTACATTGTTTTTATGAACAAAGGCCACAAATAAATAAACGAAACTAAATAAAAAAATACAGAACACAAATTTACGTAGATCAGCTCGAAAGCCTACATCCATAGGCGCAGCGTAGTGGCAAAGTTTCACTATCAACAAAAGGAGATTAAATAAAATTTTTTAAACTAGAGAATACAACCAAACATAGATGCCCAAAACTAGGAGCCAAAATCCCCCAAAATCTGGGGCCAAACACCCAAAAGAAACTGATTGGTTTACAATCTATTTATAGACCCAAAATACTTTGTTTCCTAATACAATAGGTGTTTTAATTGGTCTTTTACTTGAAGCTGGAATACAAGACACCCACAACAATTGTTGTACATTAACATGATTATGAGCACATGAAGAGAAGATAATAAAAACAAACAGAAACATTAACAGCCATAACAATTCCTTACTAGCTATCTGGGCTGCTTCTTCATCATCCAGTGTTGCTGCAAAACCATTGATGTGTCGTGTGTAGGAATAAAATATGGCATCTTTGGCCTTATCATTGCTGTTTTTGGAAAGTTCCAAAATGTGAAGAAGATGAGAAAGTAAATCAGAAATAAACAATGGAGAGATGACAAAGTTATTCTAGTACAGAAGTCCATTACCTTCCCAGAAATGATCCCAGAAACTCGTAATGAGACTCTGTTACTGGATTTAAATCAATGGATGAGACTTCTTGGCCATGTGAATGTGCTCCCAAATACACCACATATGACTGAACCCACAACAGAGAAGAAATTCTACTGAGAGATTCAACTTCACCAGCACCACATTACATTATTTACTCGCAATGATCAAAATTTCGTTTTGATACATGGTTTCAGTAACTTGAAAACAAAAAGGTTTCAGAGTCGAAAACTTATCTAAACACCTCAAAACATAAGTATTTTCATATTCAATCACTGATTTATTTTGATTTTTACAGAGGAAACAGAATCGTTTTGACCATTTTAAAATAAAATATAGTTTCTTGTTTAGTCCTTGGAAAANGTTTTTTTTTTTTTTTTTTTTGTGTATTTTGTGTATCTTGGATTTCTTATAATTCATATTCTTCTTGCATTTTTTTCCTTTGTTTTTTATTGATTAAGCAAGAATGAAAAATCTCACGCATTCAATGATATTATTTGATTTTAAAAGTGAAATTATTCAAAAGTGATATTATCCTGATAAAACACCCATGACCCATGTGGAACCTACAGATTTGGAACACTTTTGAATTTTTTTTGTTGGCCTGTTCAATTATTTTTTCCCCTTGATGTTTTTTTGGATTAAGAGTTTTGGCTGATTAAAATGTTTAGGATATAGTCCATTGCCTTTAATGAACTTTGTATCAATAACTATTGCCTTTGTTCTAGAGTGTATTGTGTTTTCAATATCGCAAAATATTTTTTTCTTAGCCCATTAAAGTAGCCGGCAGAGGGTGGGAGAGCTATATCAGAAAAGTGTTGGCCATTTATAGAATATGGTGGGGTGGGGGTGCTTTATTGCCTAAAGATATGATTTACACATCCCTGGAATTACTTATATTTTTCATTATCTAAAAATTGGTTCAGTCCCCCATTTGCATCGGTCATATCTTCCCATTGATTTTTGAATAGTTGTTATCTATTATTTAGTAACCAACTGAGATACTGTATAAATTTGTGGGCCTAGAATCTTTGCTTGAATGATCATTCTTTATCTTCGAATTAATATTTCAGACGTGATTTTATTCTTAAAAAAAGTTAATTCTGATACGGATTTAATGGCACAATGATGTTGCTGTGACAAATTTTGGTTGTCTTTGGGCATGTAAGTGATGCAAGAACAGTGGAATCATTTTTTGATATACTTTGTTGATGGTTTAAGGAGTTACAAAAATGTTGAGGAGTTACAAAATTTTTTTGATAAACACATTTGTTGTTGCTCTGCTGCCATTTCTTGGTTAATTTTTTTCAGAAGCTGAATTATCTTCATCATCTTCCGCTTACGTTTATCCTTGCAAACCACATGTACCTCGGTTGCATGTCTGTCGCAGCAGCAGTTGCTGCCTTGAGGCTTATTGCAGTAGACTCCACAACTTACCATTTCTTTACCAATTTATGAGCATCAATGTTAATTCAATCAGAAATCTGATCTCTCATANGTGCAGAAAAGTGTTTTGCAGCACTAATGAACCCTATTATCTGATTAAAGAAAGAGAAAACACAGATCGGATAATATATAAGTGGCATCAAATTTTAATAATCAACTGACATTACAGACTATTTCTTTTAACTTTTGGGGCTTGTGAGAACTAAAAAGTGTGCTCCAATCTCATACAGGAATTTTAACAAACACAAGGAAGAGGTGAGAAATGTATAAAACATTAAACATTGGTCCAAGTGGAAAATAAGCTATCATGAAGCATGGCCCATAGCTATAAGATCACATCTGGCAAGATGTTCCACTCAAATCCAACTCATTCGGTATTGTACCTTTAAATTTTATTATTTTAATAATTTTTTTATAATTTTTCTGGACTATTTTATAATAAAAAAATTTTATAACTATTATGAGTGTTTTTATTACTTTTGTAAATGTTTTTACTATTGTTGTAATTATTTTTTTATTATTTTTGTGGTACTTGCGATGTTACCCACAAAAATTATAAATTGCGGTGTAATACTTTGGTTCAATGGTCAAGGATGTCGGAATTAGTTTGTGCGCATCTCGACTAGTCTTTTCCTAAATTTAATCAAAGGCATGACTAAGATAAAAACCTTATGACCTGATCCCAAGGGGTTAATAAGATTTAAACTCAAGACATGTGAGTTTATAACTCGCTCTTGTTACCACCGATGCTACCCATTTAAATTAACAATAATCCTTTTTCAGCAGCAATGTGGTATAGATTTTAGGCCGTCCAATGCACGCACGATGCAGTACAAGGTAAGATGTATGTAATTTTATCATGCAAAATTTTTTTTTTTGTGATTTTAAAAAATCATGTAATTTTATGAAATTATATACTATGACTCAAATTCGTAATTAAATCTATTTTTGATAGAGACCGTTGTCAATTAATTTATATTTTTATTTCATATCTTTAATAGTGTAAAAAGTAGGTCGGACTCCAAGTTATTGAAGGACAATGGCGTTCGCTGTACTAGGACCCACATTCAATAATATGATATAGATTTGAGTGACAAAGTGAGGGTTGTCTTTTAGGGTAAATTTTATAATTAGTTCTCGATCTTTAATTTTAATTGTAATTTGATCTCTAAACTTTTAATTATTTTAATTTAAATCTCTCAATAATCAATTTCGTTTTAGCTAAATCATTTCATCAATTTTTAGTGTTATATCAAATGGAACTACACGATCTAATATTAGAAATTGATCAGATTGGACTACTTTCTATTTAATTAAATGGTAAAAATGAACATAATGACTTAATTTCGATAAAATTCATAGTTAAAGGATTAAATTAAGACACTTGAAAGTTCAAGGATTTCCGTTTGATCTAACAATGGAAATTGACTAGATTGGACTAATCTCAATTTGATCAAATGGTAAAAATAAACGTAAGGACTTAATTGAGACAAAATTCATAGTTAAAAGATTAAATTGAGACAATTAAAAATTTAGGGATCAAATTGAAACTAAAAGTAAATTTTAGGGACTAATTATAATTTTTATCCAGGATGACTGATTTAATGGTGGGACCACGGGACCCGAACCGTTCACTATCATGCACTGATTGAAGGAATTGAATACGACCATGGGCACAAAAATGGAGTTTCTTTTTTTATTTTTTTTATTTTTTTGAAGTATTTGTATCCTCTCTCCTCTGGCCATTTTGATTTATATCATTTTAGCCATCACTGGATTTATTGATGGATCGAATCCATCTAAATTCGAATTCGATTTATGAATCACAATTCAAAAATTCGATCGATTTTCTTTTCCATACTCTATGATATTAGATTCTATTATAAATCACAATTTTTGAATTATAATTCAAATATTGTATTTATATATGTCTGGTTAGATTATAATTAGATTAGTTACTGATATATCTGAAAATATCTTATAATAATAGATTCAATCTTGAATTATCAACGAGAAACACCAATCAGATTCCCATCAAAGAGCACAATCCATTTAGAGTAAGCTAGCCGAAGTTTTTCTCAAACCCAGTGCCCCTCCTAACTTTATTCCCCAACTCAATCAATTTTAAACTTATTTCTTAAACCTAATTTTTTTTTTAAAAACACCATTTGAAATGACGTATTCATACAATAAAACATCATTTGAAATAACGATTTAAAGATAAATTTTTTTTACAAAAATATCATTTATAATAACATTTTTTAACATCAATTTTAAATAGCGGCTAACAGACGTTAAAATAAATAAAAGAGTATAAAACGTGATTTAAAATAACGTTTTTAGAAATGTCATTTACTGTGACAATTTGAACGTTATATCAGCCCCTTTATAATCCCCAAATCACTGCCAAGGTTAAAAAATTTCAAAAATTTTCACCTCTCCTCCACAAACGAACGACTGTGGGCTCCCCTCCTCCACAAACAAATGACTGTGACCTCTCCTCCTCCACCAAACACCGAGATTCAACCTCCTCTCCGACGAGCTCCAACCATTCAACGACTGTTATCTCCGACAAGCTCCAACCATTGTTCATCCAGCGAGTTAGCGACTGAGCAGTGAGCATTCTCCATTTTCGATCTTTGCTTCTTTGTTCTATTGATGACCATGCGGATCTGTTGTTCTTGTCACTTCTCACTTCATATTCTATGGGTTTTGTGCTTTCGTTCACCTATTGTTGAGATAAATGATTTATGTTGGGATAAATGATAGGTGTTTATGTTCAGGTTATTTGAGGGTTTCTCATTTTTTTTTCTTTGGAATTTTTTTTCAACACTTCCCAATCTTTCTTAATTCATGTGAGTTGTTCATTGAATTTTTGTAATATTGTAATATGGTTATCTAGGCGTCTTTTAATTGGGTGTTTAGTTGGATGACTTTTAATTGGGTGTTTAATTGGATGTCTTTTTTTTTTTTTTTTTTGTGTATTTTGTGTATCTTGGATTTCTTATAATTCATATTCTTCTTGCATTTTTTTCCTTTGTTTTTTATTGATTAAGCAAGAATGAAAAATCTCACGCATTCAATGATATTATTTGATTTTAAAAGTGAAATTATTCAAAAGTGATATTATCCTGATAAAACACCCATGACCCATGTGGAACCTACAGATTTGGAACACTTTTGAATTTTTTTTGTTGGCCTGTTCAATTATTTTTTCCCCTTGATGTTTTTTTGGATTAAGAGTTTTGGCTGATTAAAATGTTTAGGATATAGTCCATTGCCTTTAATGAACTTTGTATCAATAACTATTGCCTTTGTTCTAGAGTGTATTGTGTTTTCAATATCGCAAAATATTTTTTTCTTAGCCCATTAAAGTAGCCGGCAGAGGGTGGGAGAGCTATATCAGAAAAGTGTTGGCCATTTATAGAATATGGTGGGGTGGGGGTGCTTTATTGCCTAAAGATATGATTTACACATCCCTGGAATTACTTATATTTTTCATTATCTAAAAATTGGTTCAGTCCCCCATTTGCATCGGTCATATCTTCCCATTGATTTTTGAATAGTTGTTATCTATTATTTAGTAACCAACTGAGATACTGTATAAATTTGTGGGCCTAGAATCTTTGCTTGAATGATCATTCTTTATCTTCGAATTAATATTTCAGACGTGATTTTATTCTTAAAAAAAGTTAATTCTGATACGGATTTAATGGCACAATGATGTTGCTGTGACAAATTTTGGTTGTCTTTGGGCATGTAAGTGATGCAAGAACAGTGGAATCATTTTTTGATATACTTTGTTGATGGTTTAAGGAGTTACAAAAATGTTGAGGAGTTACAAAATTTTTTTGATAAACACATTTGTTGTTGCTCTGCTGCCATTTCTTGGTTAATTTTTTTCAGAAGCTGAATTATCTTCATCATCTTCCGGTTACGTTTATCCTTGCAAACCACATGTACCTCGGTTGCATGTCTGTCGCAGCAGCAGTTGCTGCCTTGAGGCTTATTGCAGTAGACTCCACAACTTACCATTTCTTTGCCAATTTATGAGCATCAATGTTAATTCAATCAGAAATCTGATCTCTCATTATTGGAACTGGGTAGTTCAAGGTTTCAACCACTGTACAAGGTAGGATTGCCACTGCGACAATATTGATGTACGAATTCGAAAGGGGATTATTGTAATTGATGATTTAGTGCTGAGTTTGTAGATGCTTGCACACTTGAATTTCATTGAATTCCAATCTATATTTACTTAGCAATATTGCTATGACATTTATTTTATCCATTCTTCCTCTTACTTTTTCTTCCCATGTTTAACAGCTGCAGGTGAACTTTATAGCTTGCAAGTTAATAAACTAACAAGGTTTTCTTGTCATTTTGTCTGTGTCCATCAATCAGTGCATGCAATAAATTAGTCACCGTGTACTGTTGGAGATGTAAACAAATCTCATGTCAATTTTTTTTTATCGGTTAGGAGTGTTTGAGTTAATTTACACGTACTTTGATTAATCTCTTTTTCTTATGTCTTATCTTTGGACTATAGGAAAAAAAATATTCGGTACTCACCAAGCAATACATGATAGTGCGACGCNACAAAAATTATAAATTGCGGTGTAATACTTTGGTTCAATGGTCAAGGATGTCGGAATTAGTTTGTGCGCATCTCGACTAGTCTTTTCCTAAATTTAATCAAAGGCATGACTAAGATAAAAACCTTATGACCTGATCCCAAGGGGTTAATAAGATTTAAACTCAAGACATGTGAGTTTATAACTCGCTCTTGTTACCACCGATGCTACCCATTTAAATTAACAATAATCCTTTTTCAGCAGCAATGTGGTATAGATTTTAGGCCGTCCAATGCACGCACGATGCAGTACAAGGTAAGATGTATGTAATTTTATCATGCAAAATTTTTTTTTTTGTGATTTTAAAAAATCATGTAATTTTATGAAATTATATACTATGACTCAAATTCGTAATTAAATCTAATTTTTGATAGAGACCGTTGTCAATTAATTTATATTTTTATTTCATATCTTTAATAGTGTAAAAAGTAGGTCGGACTCCAAGTTATTGAAGGACAATGGCGTTCGCTGTACTAGGACCCACATTCAATAATATGATATAGATTTGAGTGACAAAGTGAGGGTTGTCTTTTAGGGTAAATTTTATAATTAGTTCTCGATCTTTAATTTTAATTGTAATTTGATCTCTAAACTTTTAATTATTTTAATTTAAATCTCTCAATAATCAATTTCGTTTTAGCTAAATCATTTCATCAATTTTTAGTGTTATATCAAATGGAACTACACGATCTAATATTAGAAATTGATCAGATTGGACTACTTTCTATTTAATTAAATGGTAAAAATGAACATAATGACTTAATTTCGATAAAATTCATAGTTAAAGGATTAAATTAAGACACTTGAAAGTTCAAGGATTTCCATTTGATCTAACAATGGAAATTGACTAGATTGGACTAATCTCAATTTGATCAAATGGTAAAAATAAACGTAAGGACTTAATTGAGACAAAATTCATAGTTAAAAGATTAAATTGAGACAATTAAAAATTTAGGGATCAAATTGAAACTAAAAGTAAATTTTAGGGACTAATTATAATTTTTATCCAGGATGACTGATTTAATGGTGGGACCACGGGACCCGAACCGTTCACTATCATGCACTGATTGAAGGAATTGAATACGACCATGGGCACAAAAATGGAGTTTCTTTTTTTATTTTTTTTATTTTTTTGAAGTATTTGTATCCTCTCTCCTCTGGCCATTTTGATTTATATCATTTTAGCCATCACTGGATTTATTGATGGATCGAATCCATCTAAATTCGAATTCGATTTATGAATCACAATTCAAAAATTCGATCGATTTTCTTTTCCATACTCTATGATATTAGATTCTATTATAAATCACAATTTTTGAATTATAATTCAAATATTGTATTTATATATGTCTGGTTAGATTATAATTAGATTAGTTACTGATATATCTGAAAATATCTTATAATAATAGATTCAATCTTGAATTATCAACGAGAAACACCAATCAGATTCCCATCAAAGAGCACAATCCATTTAGAGTAAGCTAGCCGAAGTTTTTCTCAAACCCAGTGCCCCTCCTAACTTTATTCCCCAACTCAATCAATTTTAAACTTATTTCTTAAACCTAATTTTTTTTTTAAAAACACCATTTGAAATGACGTATTCATACAATAAAACATCATTTGAAATAACGATTTAAAGATAAATTTTTTTTACAAAAATATCATTTATAATAACATTTTTTAACATCAATTTTAAATAGCGGCTAACAGACGTTAAAATAAATAAAAGAGTATAAAACGTGATTTAAAATAACGTTTTTAGAAATGTCATTTACTGTGACAATTTGAACGTTATATCAGCCCCTTTATAATCCCCAAATCACTGCCAAGGTTAAAAAATTTCAAAAATTTTCACCTCTCCTCCACAAACGAACGACTGTGGGCTCCCCTCCTCCACAAACAAATGACTGTGACCTCTCCTCCTCCACCAAACACCGAGATTCAACCTCCTCTCCGACGAGCTCCAACCATTCAACGACTGTTATCTCCGACAAGCTCCAACCATTGTTCATCCAGCGAGTTAGCGACTGAGCAGTGAGCATTCTCCATTTTCGATCTTTGCTTCTTTGTTCTATTGATGACCATGCGGATCTGTTGTTCTTGTCACTTCTCACTTCATATTCTATGGGTTTTGTGCTTTCGTTCACCTATTGTTGAGATAAATGATTTATGTTGGGATAAATGATAGGTGTTTATGTTCAGGTTATTTGAGGGTTTCTCATTTTTTTTTCTTTGGAATTTTTTTTCAACACTTCCCAATCTTTCTTAATTCATGTGAGTTGTTCATTGAATTTTTGTAATATTGTAATATGGTTATCTAGGCGTCTTTTAATTGGGTGTTTAGTTGGATGACTTTTAATTGGGTGTTTAATTGGATGTCTTTTTTTTTTTTTTTTTTGTGTATTTTGTGTATCTTGGATTTCTTATAATTCATATTCTTCTTGCATTTTTTTCCTTTGTTTTTTATTGATTAAGCAAGAATGAAAAATCTCACGCATTCAATGATATTATTTGATTTTAAAAGTGAAATTATTCAAAAGTGATATTATCCTGATAAAACACCCATGACCCATGTGGAACCTACAGATTTGGAACACTTTTGAATTTTTTTTGTTGGCCTGTTCAATTATTTTTTCCCCTTGATGTTTTTTTGGATTAAGAGTTTTGGCTGATTAAAATGTTTAGGATATAGTCCATTGCCTTTAATGAACTTTGTATCAATAACTATTGCCTTTGTTCTAGAGTGTATTGTGTTTTCAATATCGCAAAATATTTTTTTCTTAGCCCATTAAAGTAGCCGGCAGAGGGTGGGAGAGCTATATCAGAAAAGTGTTGGCCATTTATAGAATATGGTGGGGTGGGGGTGCTTTATTGCCTAAAGATATGATTTACACATCCCTGGAATTACTTATATTTTTCATTATCTAAAAATTGGTTCAGTCCCCCATTTGCATCGGTCATATCTTCCCATTGATTTTTGAATAGTTGTTATCTATTATTTAGTAACCAACTGAGATACTGTATAAATTTGTGGGCCTAGAATCTTTGCTTGAATGATCATTCTTTATCTTCGAATTAATATTTCAGACGTGATTTTATTCTTAAAAAAAGTTAATTCTGATACGGATTTAATGGCACAATGATGTTGCTGTGACAAATTTTGGTTGTCTTTGGGCATGTAAGTGATGCAAGAACAGTGGAATCATTTTTTGATATACTTTGTTGATGGTTTAAGGAGTTACAAAAATGTTGAGGAGTTACAAAATTTTTTTGATAAACACATTTGTTGTTGCTCTGCTGCCATTTCTTGGTTAATTTTTTTCAGAAGCTGAATTATCTTCATCATCTTCCGCTTACGTTTATCCTTGCAAACCACATGTACCTCGGTTGCATGTCTGTCGCAGCAGCAGTTGCTGCCTTGAGGCTTATTGCAGTAGACTCCACAACTTACCATTTCTTTACCAATTTATGAGCATCAATGTTAATTCAATCAGAAATCTGATCTCTCATTATTGGAACTGGGTAGTTCAAGGTTTCAACCACTGTACAAGGTAGGATTGCCACTGCGACAATATTGATGTACGAATTCGAAAGGGGATTATTGTAATTGATGATTTAGTGCTGAGTTTGTAGATGCTTGCACACTTGAATTTCATTGAATTCCAATCTATATTTACTTAGCAATATTGCTATGACATTTATTTTATCCATTCTTCCTCTTACTTTTTCTTCCCATGTTTAACAGCTGCAGGTGAACTTTATAGCTTGCAAGTTAATAAACTAACAAGGTTTTCTTGTCATTTTGTCTGTGTCCATCAATCAGTGCATGCAATAAATTAGTCACCGTGTACTGTTGGAGATGTAAACAAATCTCATGTCAATTTTTTTTTATCGGTTAGGAGTGTTTGAGTTAATTTACACGTACTTTGATTAATCTCTTTTTCTTATGTCTTATCTTTGGACTATAGGAAAAAAAATATTCGGTACTCACCAAGCAATACATGATAGTGCGACATAGTGTTCACACCTAATGAAAAATTATCACAACACTTGTTTGATTGACATATATATTGAAGTTTTAATTACTTGATAATGTAAAATATTTTTTAAGGATCTAGATCTTTTATAATATATATATTTTTTAATTTTTTTATTAGTAGATAATCCATTATTAATGAGTGAGAAATTCACTTATATTTAATGTGTCTCGCTTGAATGCATAATAAATAATTTGTCAAGAATTTTTTTTTTTTAAAATATATTGAAGAAAATTTCACTCCATTTAATTGGTGATTTAGACACTGCTATGTGATACCTCATTGAACATTTGCTCCACTACTAGTGATTCGATCACACTTTTTTTTTTTTAAAAACAGTTAAGAGTGTTTAAGTCAAATTATGTACATTTTAATTTATCTCTTCTCTGGTCCGGTTAAAAATAGGTCATTCTCGTTGGGACTAGGGGATTCATAAGGGATAAATTTTTATGGCCTGACCTCAAGAAATTGTCAAAATTCAAATTTAGGATATCTTCTATCATACTCTGAAAAGCGGTTGGTTAAGAAGAAAAAAATGAGAAAAATTGAAAATGATAGAAAGTGAAGTGAAAGAAAAGAAAATAATAGAAAATATATTTTCATGCATGTATTTGATTAGAATAAAAATTTTATGAGAAAGTTTTAAAAAAAATTCATTCTATTATTTGAAAGAAAGGAAAATTATAAGAAATTTTTTATAATTGTCTAAATTACCCTTAATTATATTAAATCGGTTTAAAAAGGAAAAATATGTAATTATAATTGAAAGGTAAAATGTTTTAAAAAATTGGCTCGAAACCTAATTATAGGATAATCACCAACGCAAAAGTCTTTGGTCCAAATTATATGATTAATCAAATTTATACTAAATTTTTAAAAAAATAATAATTAATAAAATATTTTACTAAAAATAAGGGTAAAATGAGAAGTTAGTTATTGATCAAACATTTCTTGCATTTCCTTGTGTTCTTTTACGAGACAAAAAAATTGGTTGTTTGTGAAAAAATTTAAGTATGAAAGAAAATTATTTCTTTTATCATTTTTCTATTAATGCTAACTAAACTTATGAAAATTTTAAAAAGTTTCTATTTTATACATTTTCTACAATTTTCTTGCTAAATAAACGAACCCTAAAGTGGATTAGTAGACTTTGTATTGAAATTTTAGGCTATGTTTGGTAATTGTCTTTGTCTCTGAATTTGTTTTCAATTTTTGTCAAAAATGAAAACAAAAATATGTTTGGTAACTGTTTTTGGTTTTGTTTTGTTTTCGTTATATTGGAGACAAAGACAAAAAAATGGGAACAAAAAATATTTATTCCAAGAAACACGCGAAACAGAAACAGGCGCTAAAAGAGATTAATGAGATCCGGGTTTTGAACTCTCTTAACAGCAAAATACTTTTTTTTTCGTGAACCTATTTAAACCCACCCATCTGTCTCTCTNATATTTATTCCAAGAAACACGCGAAACAGAAACAAGCGCTAAAAGAGATTAATGAGATCCGGGTTTCGAACTCTCTTAGCAGCAAAATACTTTTTTTTTCGTGAACCTATTTAAACCCACCCATCTCTTTCTCCTGTCCATCGTTGTCTCACTCTCTCCATTTTCTCACATTCACTGACGATATCTCCTCTCCTCTCTCTCACCGACAACAAGTAAGCCCCTTCTCTTTCTCTCTGTTTCTCCCTCTCTCATCTAATCTCTTCGCTTTCTCTCTCTATATATACACACAGCTCCGTGTATGCACATATATGCATATATGCACAGATCTATGTGTATATTGTGTGTGTGCTCTGTGTGCTGGGGTGTGTGTGCGTTGTGTTCTATGGGTGTGGTGTTTGTGATTTAATTGAGATTGAGATTGGGAAAGTAGCTCATTGCTTTCGATTTGTTGAAGTATTGGATTACTGCTTGTATATTTATCTTTTGAGCTATTTATTATTCGAACATTTTTTGATTTCAATGTTATATGAACTGTTTAACACGGATTAAATTTATATAAAAAATTGGCAATCAACCCTTTTCTTATTAATTGTATGCCAAACCATTGCAGACAAAGATATAATAATCTTTGAACAATTTTGGGAATTGCACAGGTGAAGGCTTCCTGCATATTATTTCATGATACCTTTTTTTTTTCTTTTTTTTTTTTTGTATTTTGGTGATTTAAAAAGCTTCATCAATTGATTTGGTCATAGATGTTTTTTTGTATGTATTCTAATGTTTCATATGTTCATATCATGGAAATTTTTTGAATCATTAGAATATCCCAAGAAAGAAACGATTGGTTGTCAGTGCTCTAATGATTACTGATCAATGCCTAGGAATGTTATTATTGAACACCCCATTATTCCTTGATTGTGCATACCAACAGAAGTTGGGCAAGAATCAACTAACTGAACTTTGTCACCATCAGCTGTGCATTTGTTGAAGTAGCTTCATTAGGTATGTTTCAGTTTCTAGTCAAAGTGACCGGTTGCTATTGTCCAAGTACAACCGTGAAATAGATGTTCTAAAACTGCTTCTTCCTCTCCCCAAGAAGGGCAGAGTTTTGGGTCAGTTTCCTCTTCTACATATTACATTAGGAAGCTATGTTGATCTTCAATTAAACATTTGCAACTAAGGTTGTGCTTTATGTTGCAAACAAAAAGACAGAAGTGTTCATTTTGTGTGGAATGCTGGGGGGAGAGTGTATTAAGTGGAGGGGCTATTTCTGCTATGCTGAGGCTCAACCTTAGCACTTGTTGTAGCCTATCCACTCACAGTATATTCTTGAGGTAGTTTTTGCCCATCTAAGTATTGTCTTGGATGCCTGTAAGCAACCCTAAGTTAAGGCATGCCCACATCCTTGGGTGGTGTTCTTTTTGCAGCTTAGGTTGTCCAATTTCAACCAGGGTGTGGCACAATTTTAGGTGTCTCCAATTTTTTTAGAGTAATAGATTAAATTTGTATGTCTAAGCAATGTACTAGCTTTATCTAAATTGCAGAAAGTTAACATTGTATTCATGAAATAAAATCTTGTGTAATTTATTCAAAGCTTCAATATATTCAAAAAATTAATGAAATTTCATTTATACCTCAGTAACTACGACCTCAATTCTCATGTAGGGGTTGGGTTTTGGTGTAGAATTAATTGCATGGGGTGGTTTTTGGTGAGGAAAGAATTGCAAGGGGTGGAAGATATGTTTCTAAAGGCTGGATAGTTGGTCTGTGGAAGATAGATGTTTGGTTTAAATCCTTTTGAAGGATTAAAGCCAACTATCGCATCTAGAAGATGATTGTTAATAGGAACTGCTCTGTTGTTGATCTGTTGCTGCTTGGAATCTATTAGACTGTGATGCTGTCTGGGTGGTGTTACAGTGCTGCTGTTGTTTGAGCTGATTTCTGGACAACTTGATGAAAGAGGATTTGAGGAGGCCATAACAACAGTATTATCTATTCTTTGTAATTAGACTGTCGGTTGTAGTATAACAGAATTCTGTTAGGAAACAGAAGATCTGTTTTTTTAACATTTTTCTATTTTTTCTGTTAAATAGATTTTCTGTTTTAGTTTGATTATGTTAAACAGATTTTCTAGTTGTCTGTAATCAAAGGTAGGGAATTGGATGATGCAAATGTTGGATCAGCCCAAGTTACTCATTACAAAAGGAGGTGGAGGGTTTTCAGAGTAAATGGTGTTCTGCCACTTTAATGGTTCAGTTAAGGGGCAGATTGCATGGATCTGACAGTTGCTGTCTATCTGACTGTCTGTTTCTGTAATCAGTCTGGGTTGGTACTGTTCTTATCTGCATCTGAGATTGATCCTGTTAGTCTCTAGGAGTTACTAGCAACTTGAAATTGAAGAGTGTGCAGTTGATTAGACCTGCATCAGGACCTGTTTGCTATGAAAGAGGGTGTTGTCTGTTGTAAAGAGGTAGGAGCTGAACTGTGAAGATTAGAAGGTGCAAAAATGTAGTTAAAAATGGTTTTAATCATCTTGAAGGATTAAAGCCTTTTTTTGAATTTTTTTAAAAACATATTATTTTTTGCTTCTTAAAATTACTTTTTTATCAATAAAATTTTCCTTTTATTTTAAAAAAAAATGTTCTTCCATATTCCGGATCCCCAATTGCATTCTAAGATAGAGTATTATTTCAGCAGTGACAATTTAATTAAAGATACATTCGTGCGGGAAAACATGAATGATCAAGGCTGGGTTCCAATTAAATTCATAGCAGGCTTCAAGAAAGTGATGAATTTGATTTTTTAAGGTAGTAGCATGAAATCGATATATATGTTTTGTTGAGGAATTGTTTTTTTTTTTTTTCGTGTTTTATGATTATCCATTGTGGCTTGGTTGGTTGGTGTTTCTAAAAAAAATAAAATAAAGCATATTTAAGATAAAACGTGAAGTGGTTATCAAACATGTTTTTTGT